CTTTCCCTGTCTCATCCTCTCTATCACCCCCACCCCCTTCCCTTTTGTGTTTCTCTTTTGAGCCCTGTTTGTTCATGCATATCCCAATCTTCTTCAGCCCTGTTATGGTGTCTTAAGAATTTGTCAAGTTTGGAATGTCAGTGTTTTAATTTTAATTAATTTGATGTATTTTTTGGTACAATTTATGTGAACATTATTTGATTCAGATATTTTATCTGTACTTCGTCAGGTTTTCTGTAAGATATTAAAGCACTAGATTATGCTGTTGTTTGATGTCCGTCACAGATGCAGACTCGTTGGCCCTGGAGAATTTATGCCACAGGTTAACAACTGCACGGCTGCATTTAACTGCTCTGTCTGTGCTCATCCCTCGAAAGACGTAAGTTTAACCGGCTTCATTCAGGGGAGGGGTTTGGCTGGAGTTTTCCTGATTTCAGAATGCATTTTGCATCAGGATTGTTTCGTATTTCAGGGGTTTGGAAACAATTTCTTTTACATTCTGGAAAATCCTGAGTTTACCACGAAGGTGTCATTATGAAAGTTGATAAAAATACAAGAACCGGGTATTTAAGGAGTACCAGGAGGCAAATGCGAATGTGTACCGTAGACCCGGCACTGCTTTAGGCCCACAAAACTTCTGGTGAATAATTTGTGGATATTTCTGACCCCTCTTTGCCTCATTGCACCGTCATTTCTTTCAATTTATTGTTAACTTGAAGTCCTTGGCAGTGACCATCACACCAGTGCGACATGCACTGTGTTACTTAAAGGCCAAATAGGAAGGAAAGTGAAAATAATTTTCAATTACATTTGAAGACTGACTTCGTTTCTATTCTCCACCATAGTCAGGAGTCTGTGGTCGTTATATCAAGTACATACGTCGTGTCTGTGGACTAGGTAAGGACAATGCAACCAAACCAGGAGGTACGACTTTTTGTGCAGTTGTGGATCTACTCTCTGTTGGCATCAAAGTGTATTCAATTGGCAAATGTCCAGGGCTGGGCCAGATAGTTAAATATTTGATTATCGAATTCATGAAGAAGAATATTCATGAAACGAAAGGGGAAAGTTTCTTTTGTTTTTAAATGAGAAAAATTGCACTGTACAGTCTTGTTTTAAGCAGATTCATATGAAAAGCAACGGCAATCTTACGATTTAAAAGTTATACTAAAAAAAAAAAAATTTTTTTTTTAATTTAAAAGGAACAGGGCAAGAAGTATTGTTTGTCTCTTAAATCTTTGCTACATCATGGCTGGAGTTACTCCTAGATGTTAGAAGCTATTATTATGATTATAATATACGATTGTGTGCATTATTGCAACTGATTTTGTTTATGAATTGTTCATAAAGAATCTGACGGTCGCTACCACTGAAAATTCGGATACTCAATCAAATTGAAAAACGAATTGTTTGAATTCATTCAGCCCTAGAAATATCCTTTGTTTTAACCTTCTATGGAAACCTGGTGACTTCATCATCAGCCGTTGAAAAATCTGTCAAAAGGGGCCTGTCTCTTGATGCTTTGCTGGCTGAATTGTTATTTCAAAATAGTTTTGTCTAGCCACTGCTGGTATACATTTACAAGTAAATGTACTGTTGCTGCACTGTTCTTCATTACATACATGTATGAACAGCGCTCAGTACAATCAAAAAAGTTCTTTTTTCAAATAACCCACAGCAAGTGCACAACCAGACGACAGCACAGTAGGCTCAAATAACAAATCAACACAAGGTCCAGAACCTGCTGATAATGTAACACAAGGTGGGTGATTCTTTTACTCTTGAAATGCATTGCTATAAAGATTTGAGTGGGAGTATGGTCAACAATGTTTATGTTCATTCGCTACCATTGACTTGAGTTAGATGAGCCAATTTTAAGAACTTGTGTCAGGAGTATGTATTTCAAGATGTATTTTTGCGTTGGGGAGATGTTACTTTATATAATGGGTTTTGCCCTTATCCAACGTATATATTGATAAACACTGTATGCTCAGTGCTTGTCCGAGAGCTTGTGAAAAAATTCACAAGCTTACTCAGGTGGGACTCGAACCCATGATCTATACATCTTAAAAATAGTTCACGGTACCCGCTGCTTCACTTGACTCGGACCAGCCAGCCAACCCCCGGCAAGCTCATGGTCAAGTGGTTAAGACGTCTGCACTAGTAAGCAGGAGGTCATGGGTTCGAGTCCCACCCGAGTAAGCAAGTGAATTTTTTCGCAAGCTCTCGGACAAGCACTGAGCATACAGTGTTTATCAATATATACGTTGGATAAGGGCAAAACCCGTTATTTAAAGTCCAGTACATGCTTATAATGAAACAAGAGGTGGGTAATATTTTAATTTTGATTCTTGATAAATATGCATAAATAAAATGATCTGAGTGGGACTATGGCCGACAATTTCTATGTGCTGTCATTCATTGCAGTTAATTGGCAACATTTAATTTCATGCGCCGACTCCCAGTTCAGAATGGTGTGATAGTAAAATCGCACTAAACTAATTTGTGTTAAAAGCAGCTTGAGTCAAATAAAAATTGACTTTTGTTTCAGAAAAATTTTCTTCATTAGAGGGGCATACAGCACTACAGATAGGATATGCAAACACTAATTGCTTCTTGTTAAATGCACATCTTGCTACAATGGTTTATTAACGTGGAATAACCTAAAAACGGGCAGCAAAAGGTGGCAATCCAAAGGTAACATTCTGGACAAACAGCGAAAAAAGACGAGAGTGAAATGAAACTTATTCAGTCACATCGTCTGCATCATCCCCAGGATCTATGTTCATTGCTGTTTGCAAAGGCCCCCCCAAAAAATGGGCCTGTTGATAATGGAAACTTATCGTAAAGGGCAGACTGGATCAATCATGCTCTGTGCATGAGAACGCAGGCAGAGACAGGTCTTTCCTCAATGAACACTTTGATGGCACTACAATTTACCGAGCATTACAAAGGTCAGGGGTTATGAGCAGGCTACATGTAGGTGTCTCTAGGTGGCGCTATATTGCCGAAAGAGGGTACACTCAGAATACAGAATGGACGTATCTGTTGCAAATACCGGTAGTTTTGTGTGTCACTGCTCAGACAGCATTTCTTTTTGGCTCTACCAGTAATCCTGACTTTCATTTACGTAATTATTAAAGTGAGCAAATTCTAAAGTGATTAAAATTTGTTGAAATTGCTCTGTCGCATTTGCTGTGTCATTCATTCATATGGAACACCACCTCCAGGAACACTACCTCCAGGAACACCACCTCCAGGAACACCACCTCCAGGAACACCACCTCCAGGAACACCTCCTCCAGGAACACCACCTCCAGGAACACCACCTCCAGCATGTCCAGGAACATCACCTCCAGGAACACCACCTCTAGAAACAAACTGGATGGCTGTTGCCATTGGAGCTATCGTTATCTGCATTGTAGTTATCTGCATATTTGGAGTTGCCTGTTGGTTTATGTTACGCACCCGATACCGGCGTTATAAGAAGGGTACTTCTGGTGCATCTACCAGTAATGGTCAGTAAACACCGATTTTTTTCAAGAATCAATTGTCAACCCAAACATCCTAGGGTGCATATAAAATCATATTGATATCAGGATTCTGGATTGTTGAGGAAAATGTTTGCGGTAATGCCCTGCAAAAATATCTCTTTTGTAGATGTGGTTCTGAAAAGAAGCAGCACAGAAAATGTTTGGTTCGGAAGAGAACTCTGGTTCTTTTCGTAATCTGGATTTATATGACGGGTTTTGCCCTTACCCAACGTATATATTAATAATAAACACTGTGTGCTCAGTGCTTGTCTGAGAGCTTGTGAAAAAAGCCACAAGCTTACTCGGGTGGGACTCGAACCCACGACCTCCTGCTTACTAGTGCAGACATCTTAACCACTCGACCACCGAGCTTGCTGGGGTCGGCTGGGGTCGGCTGGCCGGTCCGAGTCAGGTGAAGCAGCAGGAACCGCAAACTATTTTTCAAGATGTATTTTTGCATTAGGGAGATTCTTCTGGATATTCCAGAGATTTAAAGCACTTTTGTGTCAGGCCGATTTTCCTCCACTTTCCATATTCAGAGATGCGCATATTTGAAACCACAGAGAACAAAAACTTCCTGATGTCTACGTGTGCATGCACAAATACTACTAAATGATGAAAGCTTGCAAAATTATATCCCCACTACCACAGAAAATTTTTTCCCACTTGGAAGAAAAAGTGTGAAAATCTTTTCTCACTTGTTGGAAAATCTGTGAAAATCTTTTCCCACTTGGGGGAACTCTGTGAAAATATTTTCCCACTTTGGGCACACTTTTTCACAATTTGTGAAATGAAATGGAATTTCCTGAGAAAAAAAAAGTGAAAAGATTATCCCATTTTGGTGTTAACTTTCAATCACATTGTAGTGTACCAAGAATGCACCTTAAAGTTTGTGCTATGAAAATGGTAATGCTGCCCCCAAAAAACCAATCGGTAATACTTATCTGTTTTAAATTAGACTTGCAAAAACAATGCCGAGAAGAAACTTTTCACAAATGAATGCATAATGACATCATTAAAAGCCTACTGCAGACATTTACAACCTATTCTCAATACATTTGGATAATCCCATGTTGCGTTATATGTGTTCTAAAAATCATAGTTTGAATGAATTCATTGTAATGCTGTACAATTTTCCCTAAACATGGGCATCTGCCTTTTTTTCCCCAAGAATTTGCCTAAAATAAATTGGAAATTTGTTTGATCTTGCTCAGGAAATAAGTCATAAGCAGGATATTTTTTGGATGGCTTCACCGCTTTTCAAATGTAACATGTACGTGGAGTTGTAAGGATGACTCAAAGTTATATTAAAAACGTCAAACTGTGCATGTTTACAGGAGAAGTATTCAAAAGTAAAATGCCGTAGGACTGTCATTTCTGAAGATACATTAGTACGTTCAAAGTTCATCTGAATATTTTACGAAGTTCATGAACATTGTACTTATCCATAATCCTCCTTTTGCTATAGCAGACAGCCGATATGCCAATATGATTTACCACGGGACACAGACACATGGGGTTGAATGATAGGACCACTTTGTCAAGAATGCATCTGTGCATAGTAGGGTTGATATAATTTACCAAAATGTTCACTTTAATTTTTGATCGAAATGAAACTGAGTAATTCAAGGCTGCTATTAACACTTACGTTTACGCCAACATTCTAGACGATTCAAAAGATCGAAAGAAGGAGGTGAGACCCTGTTTGTGGCATTTTGATGGTTGGAACAGGTTTCAGTGGTGTGGAAGTCGGCTTGAAGGTTGGGGTGGGGGTTTGGCATGGGGAGGGGTTTATATGGAGAAAGCAAGGCATACTTTAAAACTGAAAATCAGTGGGGAAGTCTCCAAAACGACGAAGGCTTTTATAGATAGACACCCAGAACTTGTGAATTGAATCAATGACAATAATGGATACTGCTTTACATGCAAAATGAGACTGGACAATGCCCACAAAACACCATCAAACGACTAACTATGCTTGTACACCACATAATGTATAAGAGATTTAGAGATTACAATATAATTAACATAAATTTATTACAGAGACTTATCAGTATTGCAATTATGACAAAATTGGGGTTGTAGAAGTCACAGGTGCTATGCTCGCATATCAGTGTTTTACAGACAAAATGATGGCGGATTTTATCCTTTGACCTGTGAACCGCCCTGTTATTCCATTGAGAGCTGTCTAGCTGTGCTTTCAATGATGTACTTCCATCAATGTATTCCCCTCCTGTTTGTAACAACTCTGAACAGGCCTCCCTATTTCAGGTTCAACTACTCTTCTAGCTTAAGCTACCAAATGCATCTGTGAAGGAGTTGTGGAACTTGACTGTATGATTTCCTTCAGGTGTTCATTATAACGATGATTGTCTCTTGCAGGGACCACTGGTGAGCCACCCACATCCATTCCCTTGATCAACCTACCCCAGGCCAACGGTGATGGGCATGCAGAAAGGTAACTGCACTCCCTGGTTTGAACAACTTCTGGTTTCAGTGCACGGCATCAGATTTTCAGTAAAATTGATCTGGAGTCAAGTGATTCCTCCCTCTCCCTACATTTTCATTTTCCCCCTGACCTTTCTTTTTCAACCACAACAGAGTATAAAGTTGGACTTATTTCATAATTTCAATGTTTCAGTCTCAGACTTCTGATAAGGAAATGAAAGGCAAACGTGAGAAATATGTTTTGTTTCGTAACATGCCATAACTGTCTCATTTTATTGGAGTTCTTCCAATGACGAGCGGATGTGTTACCGACTTCCTGCATAGACTAGAAACTTATTCATCTGAAAAAAAAAAAGAAAACACAAAAACTTGAATGCTTCAGGCATTCAAATGATTGCTCTTCCATATAATGGTAGATTTTATAGTATTCAGTTTCTCTATGTATTTCATACATTTTGCTATTCATGTGTCTTTTTATGCCCCGTAGTAGTCTTGGTTCCAAGTCGTCACTGTCTGTATTGGTGTATTAAATGAACGTTTTCACACATTAAATTTTGCCATTTGACAAAGGGGGCGATATGTGACGGCTGACAGTGCAAGATTGTCCTACGCATAGTAACTACGAATACAGACCCTCGTCCGTCACATAGTGCCCTCTGTTGACTTGCAAAATTTACAGCGCTTTCACTTTAAAATAGATAGTAACGTCTTGGAACCAAGACTAGCCCTACTGTTTTGCCTTGTTCTTGTGTGTGTCAGTGCAATCACTTGAGAAATACTTTGCGTGTGAACTTCAAATTTGGCCAGCTCTCAGTAATCCGAGAAAGCCCATTTAGTAGGAGTGAAAGCTCAAAGTCACAGTGACTCTAATACTGAATAGAAATCTTGTCCGTGCAATATTGAGCATTTAAGCCCAAAGGTAAAGGTCACAATAGCCAAACGAGAAATCTTATTTGTGATCTGAAATTACAGTTGTGGGTGTAGCAGATGTCAATCACTTCTTCTGATAAAGGTTATGTCGGAAGCAAAGATTTCTTATGAATCCTAGAGGGCATTGTGCAGTCATGTTTTTTGCTTGCACGTTTTGCATTTGGCTAAAGTTGGTCGAAGAATTCCACTGACTTTTGTTTCAATATTTGATACGTCCAATGTTGTGAGTACATGTTCAGGGTTACTTGGAATTGTGTTTCACAGATTAACCTTAACCCTCCTCAATTCTTCACCTGTTGGAGGACTGAGGAGTGTTGGGGTCAAGATGTATGAGGAGGGAGGCACATGTAGAAACAATCATTTTGGGCACAATAAACATCAAGTATGAATTTGGCATGTCAGACCATGCGGTCAGTTCCACCCATGTGCCCGGACAGCGTATTTTGCATTGAGTTTGGATATTTGAACCAAACAGATTGAACCACACAATCACAGTCACAGTATCTACACACACTGTTAGACTTGCTGTCCGTTGCAACTCGTGATGAAAGTGGTATGATACGAGGGCAAATTACATTACCGTCTTTGGAATTTCTTCTGAGTGCTTACCCGTCATGGTAGGTTTTAGGGAAGGCAGGGCAATTGTTGTGGTTGACACTTATTCTTGTTTTGTATGAAGCCAGTAACAAACAGGGATGCATGTACATGTATTTAAAAATTTATATAATTTGAAAAAA